TAAATATATATAATTAAAAATGGATAAAGATTTTTAAATTGAAAAAAAATCTTGGAAAACATTAATTAATAAAATATAAACTACTGCTGGTAAATTAATTTAAAATTTAAGTTTTAATTCGTTTAAAGTAACACAAAATGAAATAAATATATTAATAAAGTTAACATATAAATAAACAAATAAATAAATACCCTTTTTGTGTTTAAGTTTATAAAGATATAATTTATAAAAAAATGGTAAAAATAATAAAATATTGTTAATTAAGATTATTAATTAATTAATATCTCACATGAATATCTTTATTTTGGTAGGAATCAAAACAAAGGCATCATTTGATATCGTAGGATTGGTAGGATAAAGGAACGAAACACGCGACGATCTGCCTCTCCTAAGAGGACTTTCTATAGGAAACTGCCTGTGTTTAGGTGTTAGGCAAATGAAGAAACTTCCATTGGTGAGTCGCACCATACTCGAAAACAAGCATATAATAAGATTTTGATATCTTAAAAAGAAATAATTTAAAATAGATTGTCCAGTCGATTATCAGCTAAAATATGTAATCGTTTTAAATGGATTATCAGTCGTGCACCATCTTTCCTATTTTCAAAACTTGCTCTGTATAAATCAATTAAAGAGGAAGACAGGACACAAACCTTGAATATAGTTTTAAATATGGCATGCATCAAAAATTGATGCATAAAACAGATAAAATATGAGGAAAATAGGGTAAATTAACAAACTTCCACGCTTTTTTCTGTTTTATGGTATAAAAATATCAGTTTGGAAGGAACTACGATGTTCATAATTTTAGAAAAATCCATTAAAAGATTTACGAGTTAGGAAGAAAATTAGACCTTGAATGTTACTTTCCATTAAAAAATGGAAGTCACAATATAGATAATATCACAGTAATAATCCTGTAATCCAATACTTTTCTATTATCTTATGGATTCAGTGTTTAAGGATTAGTTAATGCTTTTATTCGCTCGCCATGCGTGAATTTTTTATGATATGAAGAATTTTCTTCTTAATCTGAATGCATTGAATAAAATAATGAAGATGAGATGAATATATATTAATCGGATAACGCTTTCGAGATTATTCACTTACTTTTTGGGTAGATTTACATAAATATATTTGGAAGTCGCGCTGCAAATGGCATCACGATATTCGAAGGTAAATTGAAATAAGGTAATTACTAAAGAAATCTTATTTGATCGGTTTAATAAAATTAACATCGGCAATATACTTAAATAGCAATTTTCGTGAAGTTATGGAATGAGAATATGCCGAAATACAAAAGAATTTCTCTTCCTATATGTAGAAATAAGTCCTTTTCTGACATTGTTTTCGGATAAGGTGATGGAGTATGATTATTACTTTATAATAATTAATTGCCCTATTGTATATTTTACAAATACATAAAAATTAGACAAAAATTTCTTATAAAAAATCGTCACATACATAAAATTGACCAACAAAAAATTATTTGAAGTCCTTTGGCAAGAACGTGTTAAACCAATTTTTCAAATTTCTGTAAAAAATTACCAAAAGTTTCAAATTTACCCTGTATTTAAGATGGTTTTTAGGTGATTAATATTAGAAATTAATAGGTCATTCTATGAAAAGTTATGAGTCAGAAAATCCCATTTGTCCTGCGTGTGTAAAATAAAATTCAACAGTGTTCAACAAGGACACTGAGTTAATATGGTCTTTCTTCAAGGTCTTCAATTAACATTAGGATATATACAGGAGCGAATTTAAACACTTGACCCTGGGCTATACACAGCGATGATAAGTTTCCTTAAACACACCAGCTTGGTGGATCGAATGTGACGTCATTTCATTCACAGTTTAGTTTAAGAACATAATTTAAAATAGCATTTGATTTCGTTCAATTTAAAAAGTAATAATTCATTAAGAATGAATTTTACTTACATTTTTCGAGTTTTCCACTATTTTAATGTCGTTATTCAATTTAAATAATTACCGTGTAAGCACGTGTATGCTCGTTATGGGCGCCGCCATTACTGTTTTCTCTCTATCATACGTCACAGTAATCACATCGACGTAATTAGGGTAATGTTATACTATTCACGAGCTTATGACGTCGTTTAGAGACGATAAACATGCTGCCAATTCTTTTCGCGGTTAACCGAAGATAATTAATCAATTTTCGTATTTCTTGTAAAATAAATAAAAAAACAAATAGAAGAAGAATCATTTTATTAAGGGAAGTATAGAAATAAAAAAAGAATAAAATAATTTAGGCCAATTTAAATAAAATTTGAATCTTGTTTAATCTCACGTGTAAATATACCTTAATTTTATCGCATGGAGAAAGAACTGTAAATATAGAAAATAACCTAATATGATATAAATTTACTGTATTTATTTGATATATTTTATTGTAAAATATAATCATAAATTTACAGAACATAAGAGAATTTCTTTGTACAGTTTTCAGCATTAAAAAATTAATTTTATTTGTATAAATTTTATATCTTTCTAACAAATATCACTATTTTTATATCATTAAAAACATCGTTTTAATTGTAAAATTCATAGAATTAAATATTTAAATTCTTTTTATTTACGTAATTACTACATTTATTTATAATAAGTTACATAATTAATCATAATTAAGTGTTATCTTAATAAAATTCAAATTAGAGCCTATAATTTATGTATTAAATGTGTAAAATGAATAGAATTGAAAATAAACTTAAAACAAGAGTTATAATCAGGCCCTATCACAGCTAGCATGAGCATGTAATCCGTTGCCTGACATTTATTATACATGGATTCAACCCATTATATTAAGAAAAAATTTTTTATTTTTTGTAAAATTTTATTATTTAAAAAATACAATATAATTTCTTTTTAAATCTCTTTTGTTTTTTTAATTCACAATCACTTCCAAAACTTAAATGGTCAGAGAACTCTCGATCTGAGAAGTTAGTTATAATAGTAACTTAAGTAAAAATAAAATAGACAAATTTAATTAATGTAATTTTCTGTAAAAATTCAAATTAATATCTAAGTAAAATAATAATTAGAATTACAGTAGAATTAAATTAAAGAGTATTTTAATGTTTATGTAATTAAGACAGAGTTTTATTCCAAAGCAGATACTTCATTGTAAACTATAAAATTATGGTATCAGAAGAACGGAAATAAACAGAACTAGAGTAGAAACGGATATTTAATTAATTAAGAAGTCTTAAACTTTAAAATTTTTTAAAAAAACAACAACAACAATATGTAATTTGATCAAGTCAAGATCATTTCTAAAACCGTATTTTATACGTTAAATTTGGATTAAAATTACAATAAAATATTTAAATTTTAATTTAATTTACAGTAAAAAAATTTATTCCAATAGTGCGCATTATACGCGGTTTCTCAAAATACGAATGCAGAATTCTTAAGTTTATAATTCTGTAAAGTAATTTATTTTCCAGATAAAAAAATACAAGAAAATTTACTATAAATTATTAAATTAAAATTAATGAAAAAAGCTTAGAAGTTCTTAAGATAGAAATTAAGTTTACATTTTTTTTTGCGGTATTTTTCGCCTTTTTATAATTAATAGAGTAACGAAATTGTTCGTTAATAATTAAATATTTAATATAACTTTTTTAAAATTTTAATTTTAAAATATATAGGCCTATTAATTGTTGAATGTTTAATGTTAAATTCAATTTTGAAATATTTTGAAATAAAGCATGAATTTGTCACAAGAACGGATTAAGAAGGATTCCATTGACGTCGAACAGCTGTTGATGACATTAAACTCGTGAAATTCTGGTTTGTTTTTATAATGCAATTTTTAAAAATTCAAATGGAAAATTTTGATACAACAAAAGAACAAACAAACAATTTAATATTATTATTATTTTATTATTATTATTTTTTAAAAATTAAATTAAAATGAAAGTGTATCATTTACATTTTAAAAGGTCAAGTTATCTTTTTATTATTTGTAATTTTAACATCTAAACTTTCATTCCGTAATATGAACCAAATTAAATATTATTATTTTTAGTATTTACTTAATGATATTTATTTTATAAGATTGAATTTAAATACATTTATTATATATATAAAGAGATTAAAACTTTTGATATTTAAATTTATAAATTAATTATATTTACTTTTTATTGTCGAATTTATCATTTCTAATTTTTTTCTCGTCGTATATCCTTACAAGAAAACACTGCTTATTAATTTACGTAGAATCTCGATTAACCGGCCTTCGACTAAATGATCTAAGTGGTCATACAAGCGAGAAAATGGTTTAATTTACACACGATTCGCATTATACAGAGTTTTTCGTTATGCCATTACTGTTTAGGCCGGATAATCGAATCTTTACTATACTAAATTTAGGTAGAGACTAACTGAAATTTCATTTGAATGAATTAGTTCAAAATGTATAGAGAATTTGGTACAGAAGGTACCACTTCTACTCATAGAATAGCAAGTGCAGAACAATTAAGGAAACAATAAAGTATTTAAATTGATGGCCTGAAAACAATTTTTAAATTAATTTTAATTAAGTTTTTTGTGATGTAAATAATTTGTTTGCATGGAATAATGTGATTAAAAGTGAAAGAAGACAAAATAATCACAATCAACAGATATGTTGTTTTAATATAGTTGATACAATTGAAGCTACAATAAAGATCTATATATTTTTCATTGTTTTTGAAACAACAACCGACCATAAACAGAAAAATTTCAGTTATTATTATTATTATTTTTTTTACAATTTTATATATTGAAATCATGAACAATATTATAATATCACAAACATCGAAAAAACTGTTTTATATATTAAAATTATTTTTAAATTATAATATATATATGTATATATTTATTTATTTATATTATTTAAAAAAACAAAATTAGTGAATTAAACAAGAAAGAATTAAATATTCATGTTTCACGTTTAATTAAAATTTTAATTTAAATTTTATTTAGAATTAATAAATTAAAATTTTGCCGAATATTTAATTATGTGAAATTAAAGTTTGGATTTTTTTTAAACTTCTTCTTCTTTTATGTTATTTTATAATTATTTTACATGAAAAAAAATCCATTTGAAGATATGATGTGCAATTGAGATATTGTCGTCCTTTATGACATCATTTGTTTAAGGACTTCAGGATCTTCTGAAACAGAAAATAATGTCGATAAATATGAAATTATTATACATAATAATACATTTTAAATTAGAATTTTAAGTTATAAATATATATAAAAATAATTTAGGATTAAAAAATAGTTAAATATTATTATACTACATCATTAGTTTAAGGACTTCGGGATCTTTTTGAAGTCCTTCAATTGTTCTGGAGCATAAATTATAACTAAAATCTTCATTTTTATATAAATTTTATTATAATTCTAATCACGAAAGGTATAAATATAACATCGGGTGGCCCAAAAGTCAGTTAACTAGTCAAACAGTTAATTGACTTTTGGGCCACCCTAAATTCTAAACATATGAAAAAAATTATGTAATAATAAATAACTGTTTATGCCTTATAACTTTAATCAGAATTAATTTAATCCACATCAAGATAATAATTTAATAAAAGGTAAAATTTATTAAACAAATAATTTAAAATATAATTAGTTGACAAATATAAATATTTTAAATGTAAATTCTCGTAGGCTCTTTCTGACAAATGCGTTACGTATTAAAGGGTGAAGAATTGAATTAATATCTCTTATGACTTTATTTATCTTTAACAATACTTCAAAGTGGATTTTCGTAATAAATTTTATTAATATACCCTTTCAGATTAAGAAAATTGCATTAGAACTTTAACGAAATGCTAAACATCAATAACAGATGCTACAAATCAGATATTCAAAGTTGAATACTTAAATAGGTAAGTGAAGGAGGTAAACATCACTTATAATTAATGAACCTAAGGCATTTTATTTCATAAAATATAATAGTGATTAAATTTGATAAACCATTTATTTTCTCTACTGTTAATGATATTTATATTAAAGAAAAGTTAAATAAAAAAAAGCAATTATTTATTGTGACGTCGTCACAATGCTTTCGATTTTAGTAGTCTCATACTTTTCCTGTTAACAATAGAGTCATGCCGCTCATATAACTCCGTTTTGGAGAAAATTTTTGAGTTAAAATCTCGTGATTTCCAGTCCAAACCGGAAGTTTGATGTTAAAATAAGGATTTAGGCTATGGCTATTTAAATCAGGTAGTTGCATTAAAATAAATTTTAAATAATATTATTTTTTAATTACTAAAACAAAAAGCACATTTTTTATGCATTTCTGTATTTCACGCATAAGAAATGGAAACATCTTTTTAAATTTTCTGACATTTTTAATAAATTTACGATTTAAGTAAAAAATAATATAAAATTAATTTTAATTACTTTTTTCAGTTTTTATTAAAAGATTTCTATCATTAACTGCTAAAGGTAAAAATTACAACTTTTATCGATAAAGTTCGAATAATCTAAAATTTCCATTCATAAGGAAAGAATTCCAATTAATTTTTTTACAATAAATAACATTTAATAAAAATTATATTTTAAAAGTGAATATTTAATTTTCTCTTAATTAATTGTTTTGATATGAAACGGAATTATTTTTATTAATTTGTAAAAAAATCTAAAAAATTTTTCAATTTTTAACTTTAAATTAGAAAAAAAATTATTATTAAATGCTTAATAAGTTATTTCCTTAATATAAAATCAATTAATTAATTTTTAAATAATTTCTTTATAAACATTAGCTTTATATAATACGTGTATCAATTTAATTATCATATTATTAAATATATAAAATTACAGTGACACATACACACATATATAACGAGCAATTATTTATAATGATATCGTCATAATGCCAGGCTGTAATTTTTAATCATATTTTTAATTTCTTTAATTTCAAATATATTCTCTCCACCTCAAATTATTAGTAGTGGCGTGCCTCTGTACATCATAGTTTTCCTTTAATAATAAAGTCGTGCCAGTCATCTATATAACTGTATCCTGGATAAATTTTTGAATTGAAATCACGTGACTTCCGGTCTAAACTGGAAGTTCGTATATCGTGCTTCTGTTCCTATGATTTTCATATTTTGTCTCGGATTTCATCTATCTAATACCATTCTCGAGATTACAGAATGGTCTGTCAGTCTGTCTGACAGACAGACTGACAGACGGATGGACAATCGTGGAAATTTATAGGTCTACAATTTTTTTCACCCTTAAAACAAAATTGAGGTTTCTAAAAATTAACAAAAGATTATTAATTTTTCTTTTACATATTTAAAACATCTTCTTTTTAGCAAATCATAGGAGAGAAATGTCATTCTATTGTATTTGACTCATTAAAAATCAGCATTAAAAAAATCTTAATTTAAATAAAATTAAGATTTCGTGTATTTGTATTTCATGATTGTACTTGCTCTTCTCTAATGTTCCTTGTGTATATTTAGATTTTGTCAATGCGCTTGCTCTTCTCTAATGATGACATTGTATTTTCTCTTCTCTAATGTTATTTTATTATCCATTATTAATGAAAGTATAGCTAAAATAGTAAAGACAAACACTAAGAGAAGTCGAAAAGGAGAAAGAAAAGATACAAGAACACTTTAAATTTCACAATATAAAGAAAAAGTTAAACTTATAATTAAATTTTTGGAACCTCTTTAAAATTTTTCTTTTTAATAATTGTCCTTTTATTAGTTGTTTTATAAAAAATAAGTATGTGTTATGAATTGGCAAATGGGTTAATTTGAAAAGGAAAATAATTCTTAAAATTTTATTAAATTTATATAGATTTTAATTAAAAGACAATTATCTAGGATGACTCTTTGTTATAGAATGCTTATGATATTGTTAATTTATAAACATTATTTTAATTAATTTAATCTCTATTACTAACGAAAATACAATTTTGATAATATTTTTCGTTAGGAGAGATAAAAAAAAAAGAATAAAATTCATATAGATTAATTTTTAGAATGTATAAAAGAATACGGTTTAAGTATGCAAGGAAGGTTATTTAATTTCCTCGAGAAAATGAAATTGCAAACAGTTTTAATAAAGGAAAAAAGGGGGAGAAGTTGATGACAATTAACGATGAATAGCTAATGAGCTGACGTGTTTTTTTAATACGTTTTCTTAATTATTTTTTCGATATACTGTCGAGAAAAATGGACGTTTCTAATCAATATTAAAATTTATATCTTAATTCTGTCATTTTATATTATTTTTAACGACGAAAAGTTTTCGTTGTTTAAATGTGTTTAGATTGTCTTAAGAAAAATTCTACCATGTGCCATTCTCCTTTGAGAAAAATTATTAATTTGAAATAATCAATTTGACCTTGAAACTACTTATAAATTACCCTTTAAAACCTCATTATAATAATCGGCGAAGAAGACATTTATTATATTTAGATACATTTAGATCATTAATCTAAAATGCCAGATAAAAAAGGAAATTTTCATAAATTTTTAATCATTTATTATGTATTTCTATAGAAAGATGTTTATCTGTTAATTATACATGGGTGATTCATTAACATTTTCTTAAAAAGATTTATGATCCAACTAATTAATAAAATATTAAACTTTTAGCGCTTATTAACCTTGGCTCTTGTAATTAAATGCAGGACGATAATATTAAACAAAGCTTTTCAATACCTTCTATTTTAAGAAAGGATTCTATATAAGTCCTATCATAAATTTGATATATTATATATTTTTTAAAATTACAATAACATATATATATATATATATATATCAAATTTAACGTTCAAACTCTGAAGCATTTGATGTAAGAAGTACCATTGTATTCCGTAATCTATATATATGTGTGTATCAGACCAAATGATGGGCACAAATGCTCTGAGCGTTTGTGCCCATCATTTGGTCTGATAAGCCCTCACTATTATCTGCCTCATGGTTGTGGATAATTTAATTTAATTGATATTATTATATCAAGGGCTAGAAGCAACTTTTGTAATAATTTAATTTGTCAGATGTTCAAGATTTGTTTACGGGTTCCGTTATCACTTGTTCTTCATCTATTTCAGGTAATAGGAAGGATTTCAAATGGTTATTAATTATTTAGAGTACAGTAGAGCCTCGATTAACCGACACCTCGGTTAACCGACCGTCCTAGTCGGCAAATTTCAAATGTCCGCTAGTGATGTGGCGCTACAATATTTAGCTATGTCATGGCTACTTTAATATTATTTTTACGTGTTTTAGCTGGCAACACTCATTTGACTATGAAAGGGTGCTAGTATTTAAACGAGCCTTAATTTTCTAATTTTTAACGATATAATAGCAACGATTATTATTTTAAAAATTTTTGTTAGGCTTAATATCGATGAAAATTCAACATGAAGTAGATTAATAGTGATATACTAATATACTAATTACATGAGATATAATAATATACTACACTAATGGATTTTTTTATACTTTTCGGTTATCCGACTTTTCNTTATTATTATTATACTAAAATTAATAGAAAATATTAAAAATAAACATTAAAATTAGAAAATTACAACAATAATATAAGAAAAATAACATTTTAAATTGACTTTCAGATTAATAAAATAATATTTATTAACAATAAAACTAAACTAAATTGAAATCTGAAAGCTTTGTTTAAAATAAAACTGTAAAAAAAATATTTATTTATAAATAAAAATTGTTTATAGAACGAAATTCTCTATGCCAAAAGTTATTTAGAAACACGACATAATCCACGTAAAAAATAAAAAAAAAAAACATAAAAAAGTGAATTAAAAAATTCTTTTTGCTTATCAAAAGTTTGCAAAGTCAAATCCGTACTTTTTATTTATTTTTTTAAATATATTTTTTAAAGTTAGCGGAGAAGCAAACTTCAATGGCAAGTTCTTATTGCAGATTAATATAGACAGATGCTGTGTGGAAGCAATATCTATCAAGAAAGTGAAGCTAAGTGTTACTATAGCAACAAAGTCTTAAGTGTTGTGTCTACATAGAACATAAATGCCTAAAGTAATAACAAGCGAATTTATCATCAAGTAACACGTCGCATAAAAGCCATTTACAATCAGAGCAATTTAAATTTTTTTTTTAATTTTAATTTTAAGTCACTTTAAAGTAAGATTAAATCAGTAATAACGAGTTTTGAATATAAATTTCATAATATAAATTACTTATTAGTATTTGTTTCCAAGTAGTTAATTAAAAGATTATTTAAGTATTAGAGACTAATTTAATTAAAACTTTTAAATGAATATATTTAATATTTATTTCTTAAAAATTAAATTTTAGCTTAATTTATAAGAATTAAACACGATTAAAGTCATACTTTTTAATATGTAACGTTAATTAAGTATGTACAGTCGACCCTTCTATAACACGGTAGATACGTTCCGGTTTTAATGAATCCATTTTCTACGAATCCAGCCAATCACAGCCCGGCACGTATGCAGTTTACGGACTACGGCTGTTTGAAAGGTTTCTTCCATAAAATTAATCGATTCTAGACTAATTCGACTCAACATTTCCAAAATACGTATAATTTTTTGGGAATAATCCATATAAACTATGCTATAAACAAAAAATTGTAGGATTAT